CTGAAATCAAGCGAGCAGGGAATATTTTGTGAGGTACCAAAAATGTTAGGTATAATTTCCATGATGTCTTATTGAAGGGGAATTCTCCCTCCTCAGGGATCCTTGTGCTCTGAAGTTTCCATCACTCCTATGGCACCTATTACACACTGTTTTTAGTTGCAGACATTCATATATGTGTATAATCTCCTCTGCTGGACTATCAGCTCCTGGAGGACAGCGGCCACATCAGATAGACTTTTTAGAGCCCTGTGTTGGCCCCTAATGCAAAGCTCTATCAGTTTTGTTGGCTGAGTAAGGAAAGAAACTGCTAGATCCAAGACATTGTAATCTTTCACTCGAACACTCCTTCAACAAGTAACTGTAGGTACCTATAATGTGCAGTGCCAGAGGGGTTGGAAAAAACAAACACAAACAAGCAGAAGACCCACACACCCCAGTCTTGAGAATTTTTTAATTTAGTTGGGTATATAAGCCACACATACACACTATAAAGTCTAAGATGCTCAAACCAAAAGTAAGCATGTCTATGATAGCGCCATGGCAGCAACCTGGGGGGATGATGGTTACACAAGGAAGACTCATTGGAGGTGTTGTATTGGTCTGGCTGCCATAATGGAGGACTAGCTGAAGAAGAAGATAATGTACTAAAAAGGAGGTGTCATCTTCACCAAATGGTTCAACATTTTTACATCCTTCTGACCATAAATATGATACATGTGTGTTAGAGAAGAGTTAGAAGATGACAAAAAGAACAAAGAAGAGAGTTAGCATTCCCTCATAATCCTACCACCCAAAGGTAAACACTGAAAACATTTTGGCATAGTTCCTTCTTGCCTTCTTCCTACACGATTATGTTACATGGTTGAAGTCATACTGGATATTGATTCCTGGTTTATTTAGCATGAGAGCTAGAAGAGACAGAGAAAATTGAGTCCAACTTCCTCACTATATAAATGAGAAATGGAAGGCCCAAAGAAATCAGGGATCTAGGAAGGCCCCAGAGCTGAGACCAGATGGGAGGTCTCCCAATCCCAATTCAGTTCTGTTTCTATGATATGATGCCATCTCTATTTACCTCTTCTTCCTCCCCACATAATTGTGAATACAGATGAGAAATTTATGTTTGGGGCTCAAGATTTCCCAATTCAGTATGTGCACTTAAAATTGTCTGTCTACATATGTATACATTGTTGTGGAAAGAGATAATGGCTACCAACAAAGGCACTGTGCGAGTTACAGGAGATACCAATAATGAGAAGGCACCCAGCATGCAGCAGGGACTCCATAAGTGTGACTGGGGGGTACATGTGACTGGGGCGTGTTGAGAGAGATAGAGCAGAAATCTCAGCTCTGTTTTTCCACATGTCCTCAAGTATAGGCTCACAATGTTCTGTTGCCCATGCTTGAATATAAAATAACAAACTTCTCAGCCAGGAAGGTGGTTCTGCCAGGTTTCCTCTGTGTCTGGGTGGATTCATTTTTCTATAAACTTTATGGTCCTTTGCAAAGAATGACTACAAGGGCTGCAGATGTTGCAGGCTCCTGTGAGCAGATGTTCATGACTGTAAAAATCTCTGGGAAATTATACCTCAGCCTTTTAAGTCAATGACCTAAAACCCAACATAACATTCTGGCCTCATTTATTATTTTCCCCCATTACAGCAGGCTGTGGATTAGCAGCAATGAAACAAATGCACTTCCCAGGGAGTAGCCCATGGTCACTGGAGGCACAGATGAGCCTAACCTCTCTGTGTCTTAGCCACTATGATTATCTTTCTTCTGGGATTAAATGATGACACGAGTCCTCTGGTATCTGAGGAGAAATATATGCAGGGACTCTGGGTAGCAAAGAAAGCAACACCTCCCCACGTCTCTTCCCACAAGCAACTTCCAACCCCTCCACTGCCATTATAACCCGTGCCAGGGGCAAGAGAATCAGAGCGTCGAAAGAGAGTTTTGGAATTATTTAACCTTCCTCCTGTACTGGCACCCAGTGTAGTCTTATAAAAAATTATGTGTAATAATCAGGAAGGCTTAAGGGAATTTTAGAAATAGAACATTAGAAGAGGTCACAGCTTGCTTGCTTGCTCTCTGTCTTTCTTTTAGTAAAGGCAAAGACATCTCTTTTGTTCACGTGTACCTCTGTGTCTAAACACACTTTTGTGGGGAGGGATCGGGTTACTTGTGTAAAGCTATGCATCACTGCTCTTCAAGAATAAGGACAGGGCATAACATTCTCACCACCATGAGCAAACAAGCTCACAGGCTGTTCTCTTTCCTCCCCTCCACCCACCCTCTCCTCCCTTCATACCACCCACTCCTCCCAAGCTTGGAAGTCAATGAGTGATGAATAACAATCTCCCTAGCATGATGTTTCAACATTAGGCCACAGCATTGCATAAAGCAGACTCCAAGCCACTTTCAATAGCAGAGTCTGTTCAAAAGCACTCTCTGGTCCTCCCTCAGACAACTGAACATGGTGCAGATTGGTTCACAACCACAATCCCTGCAGATGGGAATATGGAGAGAGTGAGATCCCTTGAAACAAAATTAGGGGGGAAAAGCCACGTGAAAATATCGGATGCACTTTACATGCCCAAGGGGAGAACAAGACTCCCAGGCACTGTGAACAATTTCTAACCAGCAAACAAATAGACACTTCATTGCTGAGCCCAACCCAAGCAATGCAGCCAGGATCCAGTCTGGTTCTGTTGGTGGCAGTGGGCAAAGGTCCAGGTTCCCTTAATTTATCCAAAGTGGTTTGTCCATCTCTCACTTAAATGTGCAGAGTTTATTTTCAACAGTCATTGCTAAAGGCTTCTCTCACAGTCTGACTGACTCACCAGAGCTGTCTTTGGTGGAATACACCAGGGCTGTTTAGTAAGTTTGGTGGTCAGAAGTTGAAGAAGTTCCCATCTGATGGCTTCTGTTTTCTCAATGAAAATGATGATGTTTATTTCCTGTAAATTCAGTGCAGGTGGTGTGTGAGTGGGTGAGTGAGTGAGTGTGTGTGTGTGTGTGTGTGTGTGTGTGTGTGTGTGTTGTGGGAGGACAGTGTCGAGGAAAATGGAGAAGATGGAAAATAACCCCTGAAGAAAATGGGAGAAAGAGAGCTAGGACCTAGAGAATGACTGTATAACAGTTGAGGCCCCCACTAACTTGGACAATCTAACTTTGAATGTGCCATTGTCTGATTTTCTTTCCGTGAGCCTAGGTATAGATTGAATGAGTCTGAGAGCCAGATTGACCCAGGGGTGGAGTTTTGTCAGGTGAATGCAATTAAAGGACAATGAGGCCATGGCGCTGAGGATGTTTTCAGGAGAGTGAAGAGGACCAGGAGGGAAGACCAGAGAGAACACCTGGAGCTCAGACACAGCAGAATACAGTGCCTGTTCCCACCAACCACAGTGGAAAGCCTCATAATTCATGGGGCATCAGGTAGAGTACTCAGAAGCATTTTGCCTCAATAGTGGCAAATAATGAGCCCTAAACTAAGGGCTGCTCTGGTCCTGCCTAACAAATCTTAAAAACAAGACCCAGGGCCAGCCCTGGTGGCCTACTGGTTAAATTTGGTGTGCTCCGCTTTGGAGGCTTGGGTTTGGTTACCGGGCATGGACCTACACCACTCATCTGTCAGTGGCCATGCTGTGGTG